AGGGAAAGGAGACCGGGAAAAGAGCATGAGCTTTCCGGGTCTGCGAAGAAGTCTCGCGATGCTTCACAGGTTGTTTTGGGTTTGGGTTCACCAAACGTGTCCGCTTCGAGTACACCATCTCGGCCTCAGCAAGTCTCTCGCGCTCCCACTTCTGCTAGCTCATTGCGAGAGAATGACCTCACATCCATGACTGACAAACAATTGTGGGATTATCAATCACAATGCTTGAACGCAGTACGTTTGGGATTTATGCTTGCGTCATCCAATTGCCGTGTCGTGCCATAATTGTCTGTTTAATGCCCACTTTTTGTTTTTCGCAGATGGTTGGAATTCACAACACGCAAATGGCGAGGTTTCAGGCTATGAGCAGCGAGATATGCGAAAAGGCGGCGACCCTCGAACTTAGTGAGAAACGCATCAAGGAATGTGAGTACGAGCTCGAGCAGCAACGAGGAGAACTGCAAACTCTGAAAAGTGTCCAAAGCACTGTACTGATAGAGGTTGACCGCCTTAAGAAAGAACTGGTGGATGCCGCACGTAATAGGGACGAGGAGTATCAAGCTAACACCAAGCAGATTATGGTCGAGGTGGCCAGGCAATTCAGGTACGGTTGGGTTCAAGGTCAACAGCTTCCTGAGCATCGGTTTGTGGCAGACCCAGATGATTATGATGATGAGTTGGGATTTGATCTCGCTGGTTACGAACTATTTCAGGGTATGCACCCTGAAGATCGTCCTCCTACGGATTACATCCTCCATCGCAGGACCCTACCAGCAACCTTTTATGGGCCAACCTCTTCTGGGTCGATTGGAACCGTTATCCCTAGTGCTAATGTTGCATTGTCTATTTCCAGTACTGGGCCTGTCCTTAGATTTACAGGCTTCACCTCACCAGCTGGATTTTTCACTTGTGCTGGGCCTACCTCAGAGGTCGTTCCTGACCCATTTGATGACGCGTCCTAGATTGCTTTGTTTCGTTCACTGCTTGTTGTACTTTCTTTTCAGTTCTGTTTTTGGTTTGATGTACTTAATTATCTTTATGAGTTACCCACCTGTGTTGAACTTTAACCCTAATATAAGTATCTAAGGTTTAGCGTGATGGTTTTTCAAACCTGGCCAAAATCCTCCCAGGGTGTATCGTTATTTTCAAATTCAAAAAGCAAGGGATTAGATATCATATCGTCTCCGCATTACGACCTTATCAGGCGTTCCCTTACGTCCCTAGGTAAGCCTCTATACAAAGAATGATTTGGTTTTTAGGTGAGCATACTTATCCCACTCATGGCTCATAGACACAAGCTAAAGCTCAATTTCCGCCTTTGCGCAGATGTTCCAAAGAAATGAGACTTTCCGAGGAGGAGGACTTTGTCTATGTCAAGGAGGGAGTCCCCTAAGCGGGATTCCAAGAGCCCTAATGGAATTATTCAGATATGCTCTCAGGAATCCTCTGCCGACTCTCTGGCCGATGTTTCAGATTACTCGCCGGTTCCCAATTCGTTCCGTGGGTCCAGGTCCCGATCTGGTGATATCAAATGTAGAGGAAAGGCTACTATGAGAAGGAGCACCCCAAGGGCGCGGGATGAAGCTGGTCCGTCTCGCGTTCCTCGCTGCTCCTATCACTTCGACCATAACATGTTGCTAATGGAGCGCGACTTACTCAAAGAGGACCTGGCATGTGTTAATGCCCAAGTGACTCGCCTCCGAAGTGACCTTGCTGATGTAGATCGCGCCGTGTCTGCTGCTCATTTCGACTGCATATGTGGCGGGTTTAGACAAAGTATCCACCACTTTTGCACCAATGCAAAAATGGTTTACCCTTATGTGGATTGGGATCCTCTCCCTTTGCCATCAAACTAGCCCATGCTACTTATGGGTCCGCACATGTAGCCTCAATAGTTTTATGTGCTTTCCAGCTTTGAATAATTCGGAGGCATTCCTCCTGTAAGCATTTCATGTTTTTCCTTTTATAGCCATAAGAGCCTAATGCTATTGTTATGTTTAATCGTGCGATCTTCGACCTTGTCATATGCATATTCTTATTCATGTTGCTTGATCTCTAACCATGTCATGGTCCCCTGATCATGTCGTAATCTCCGATTACTTCTTTACGAGTGATTTTCAATTGCTTCTTTATGCGTGACCTTCGACCAAGTCTTTATTGTGACCTTCGATCGTATTTTTGCTTTTTGGCCAAGCACCTTGCGTGCTCATGGGTTAGCATATGCATTTCCTTATTTACAAGGTCTTCGACCACGTGAATTCAGGTTATGCTAATTTAAACAGACATGGTCTTCGACCAAACACTTCGAATGTGACGAAAACATGCGTTCCATTAAGCATTCATCGAACAGTGAACAATTTAGGGAAAATTCACAAATAAGCAAAAAATGAAAGCAACAAATAAAATGAAAACAATAAAATCAAATGAAATACTTCCTCAGATGAATTGCATTCCAAGGGCGTGGTACGTATTGACCGCTCTCAATATGCCTCAGCATATAGGCCCCCTTTTCCATAAGCCTCAATTATCTCGTACGGTCCTTCCCATGTCCGTCTAAATTTTCTTGCGTTTAGGTCCTTGGTATTCTCCATGACCTTTCTGAGTACTCACTCGCCTACTTTGAATTTCCTCTGTCGTACTCGTTTATTAAAGTAACTGGCTGCCTGGTTCTGGTAGTTCGCAAGTCGTAATGATGCGACTTCTCGCTGTTCTTCAAGTATGTCAAGGTTGTGAGCTAGCTGTTGCTCATTATCATTGCTCTATACCACCAGTGTCCTGACTGTGGGTAATTCGATTTCTGTGGGGATGACGGCTTCAGTTCCACAAGCTAAGGAAAAATGGGTTTTGCTGGTCTGTTTCCTTTTGGTAGTGCGGTATACCCGTAATACGTTTGGTAGCTCCTCTGACTATTTGCCTTTGCGTTGTTCAAGCCTTCTCTTCAAGTAATCAAAGATTGTACGATTAGTTTTCTCAGCCTGCCCGTTTCCCTGAGGGTAACTTCGGGACGAGAACTGTTGAATGATCTTTTTTTTCTCGCAGTAACTTCTAAATTTACGATTATCGAATTGAGTTCCGTTATCCGTCACAATGGCCCTTGGTATCCCAAAGCGACAAATTATATTCCACCATACGAATCTTACCACATCTATTTGGGTCATTGTCTTGTAAGCCTCGGCTTCCACCCACTTGGTGAAGTAGTCAGTGGCCCAAATGACGAACTTCTTGCCCTCCATTGCGGTAGGAAGTGGTCCTACGATGTCCATTCCCCAGCGGGCGAATGGCCAAGGCCCTACAACAGGGTTAATTTCCTTGGTTGGTTGCCTGATAAGAGGTGCGTGCCTTTGACATTTATCGCATTTTCGTGAGAACTGTTCTTCATCTCGGGCCATATAAGGCCAAAAATATCCTTGAGTTAGCGCTTTGTGGGCTAAGCTCCTCCCACCCGTGTGGTTCCCGTATGTCCCTTGGTGAATTTCTTTTAGCACCCATTCGGCTTCACGTGGGCCGAGGCCTCTGAGATATGGCCCTGAAAAAGACTTACGAAAAAGTGCATCATCTATGATGGCATACCTTGCAGCCTTTATTAGTAATTTCCTTGTTTCAATCGGGTCATTGAGTTGGGTTCCCTTGGTGATATAGTTCATGATTGGAGTCATCCACGTTTCTTATTCGGCATCAATCTGCATAACTCCAGGATCAATTGGTATATTGGAACTCGATAAGAGTTCCACCGGGGCGACCCTCATGTCTTCCACCGATGTTGATGCAGCATGGGCCAAGTGATCTGCCTAAACGTTCATTTCTCTCGGTATTCGTTCAAACCCTATTTTTTCGAACTTGCTGGCCAAATCCTTTACCAACCGCTGATATGCCCTCATTCGTTCATCCTTAGTCGTGTATTCCTCAGTTGTCTAGCCGACTATGATGCGAGAGTCGCTATGGACAACTAAGTGTCCCACCTTCAGCGTACGGGCTAGTTGGAGTCCTATCACCAGGGCTTCGTATTCCGCCACGTTGTTTGAAGCGGGGAAGTCTAATCGGACAGAGTACTCTAGGTCCACCCCTTCAGGCGACGAGAGGACGATTCCTGCTCCGGCTTCATCATGATTAGATGATCCGTCTACATACAATTCTCATTAGGCCTTATTCGGGTTTGGTGCCTCTTTGATTTCATCATGGTTTTCCTGTTATTTGTAAGGTGGATAGCATTCTACTAAGAAATCGGCAATTACCTGGCCCTTCTGGGCTGTCCGAAGTTGATATCTAATGTCGAATGCTCCAAGCTCGATGGCCCACTTTGTAACTCTTCCTGAGAGGTCTGGGTTGGACATGACTGCCCTGATTGGTTGGGTCGTTAATATGATGATCGTGTGTGCCTCGAAGTATTGTCGAAGCTTTCGCTTGGCCGTCACTAAAGCTAGTACGAGTTTCTCAGCCAGTGGATATCTCTTCTCAGCCTCAATTAAGCTCTTGCTCACATAAAATATGGGTTGCTGGATTGAATTTTCCTCCCTTAGCAGTATAGCGATTTCAGTGACAGCCATGTATAGGTGTAAAGGTTCACCTTTCTTTGGAATGGTCAGGGTCAGGGGATTGGCGAGGTACTTCTTCAGCAGCTCAAAGGCTTCTCTTTGTTCTGGCCCTCGTATGCTTCCGTTCTTGTTTTGAATTGCCTGGAAGAAAGGCTTACAACGATCTGACGATCTTGAAATGAATCGGCTGAGAGCCGTTATTCGCCCAGTTAGAACCTGCATATCTCTAGGCGTCCTTGGGTCAGGCATATTCCGCAGCGCTTCCACCTTCGATAGATTGGGCTCGATGCCTCGCCTATTCATTATCTGACCCAAGAACTACCCCGACGAAACATCGAGTGCTCACTTCTTTGGGTTAAGCTGCATGCGATACCTCCTCAGTATGTTGAAGACTTCTTCCAGGTGCTTGACATGTTGGGATTTTTCCTGGCTCTTGACGACTATGTCGTCGATGTAAACCTCGATCGTTTTGCCGATCTGGCTTTTGAACATCTTGTTCACTAGTCTTTGATACGTCGACCTTGCGTTCTTCAGCCCGAATGGCATCACTGTGTAGCAATACAAGCCTCGCTCAGTGATGAATGTCGTATTTTTCTGGTCCTCAATTTCCATTGGGATTTGGTTATACCCCGAATATGCGTCCAAGAATGAGAGAAGTTCATACCCGGCGGTGGCATCTACCATTTGGTCGATCTTTGGTATCGGATAACAGTCTTTTGGGCACGCCTTATTCAGGTTAATGTAGTCTATGCACACACGCCATCTCTCATCCTTTTTATATACTACCACGACATTCGAGACCCAAGTCAGACACCACACTTCTCGAATGAATCCTGCCTCTAGCAATCGGTCTACTTCATCGCTAATAATTTGGTTCCGCTAAGGTGCGAACCTCATCTGCTTCTGCCAGTACGGGGGGTGGTTTGGGTCAACGTTCAACCGATGACACGCGATCTCCAGGTCAAACCCCAGCATGTCTTTATGTGACCATGCGAACACGTCCTTATTCTCTCTTAATAACTTCATTATTTGGTCTACTTCATCTTCAGATATAAGAGAGCCTACCAACACTTTTCTATCAGGATAAGAGGGATCCAGAACTTCTTCTTTAAGTGGTTCGATCGTCGGAAGCTCTGAATTATCCTCCTCCTCTTGTTCTGGTGGGTCATCCATTAATTGCTGTAAATCATCACTCTGCTACGGAGTCGCAGCCTTAAGGTTAGTTACTATGTTGTAGCATCTTCTGGCCTCCACTTGATCCCCTTTGATATCAACTGTGGTTCTGCCATCCTCGGATATACACCTCATCACTTGGCAACGTGTCGATGCTTCTCCATCCATTCAATGAATCCAATTCCTTCATATTATAGCATTATATGCGTTCGGTGCATCCACAACTACGAAGGTAACGAATAGGGTCTTACCTGCGGCAATGACCGGCAGAGTCACATCTCCAATCGGTTGTGCTTTTGTCCCTTCGAATGCGTAGATCGGTGTTGGGTTTGGTTGAATCTCCTTTTCATCCAGCTTCATTCTTTTGAAGGTGCACCAGAATAACACGTATGCGCTACTTCCCCCGTCAATCATCACTCTTTTTACCATCGAATTGGCGGTGCGGGTCACCACTAATGCATCGTTATAGGGGAACTCAATTCCTTCCATGTCTTTCCGCGTGAATGAGATGACTCTATCTTTTCCAGGGCTTTGGCAGATTCAGAGGCAAATGTGATCCCATTTATTTAGCTCGTGTTTTTTCGAACCAAGATTGAGCCTCCTTTCCTTTCACGGGATTCGGTCGACCATGGATGGTGTTGATCTCCAGCAGTTCTTCGTTTGTGATATTTCCAGTTATTGTTTTTGACCCACTTTCTTCATTTGCCCTATTCTCAGGTTCAGCGCTGTACTGGGATAACATTCCCTTTCTCAACATTGTCTCCACCTGATACCTGAGACTTATGCACTCACCAGTGGTATGTCCAAAGTCGTTATGATGGGCACACATCTTGTTCCTGTCTCGCTTTTCTAGGGATTCACGAATTGCAGGTGGCATTCGAAATATACATTTGCCCTTGTTCTCATGAAAAAGTTTAGCTAAACTCACCGTGAGCCTGGTGAAGGGTCGGCTTTGTCTAGGTCCGTTGCTAGACTCTTGTCTTGAGGAATATCGCTTCGTCTCCACCTTCTGCTCTAGTGGAGGCTTTGGGATCGCAATGGCGGAAGTGGCGCGTTTTGACTGGGTGAGCTCTTCTTCTTCTAGTATGATGATTCCATCCGCCCGGGCCATCATTTCCCTCATATCCACTGGTGGGGTCTTCACTAAAGACCTGTGCATTTTTATTCCAGGTATGACCCCCTCACGAAATGCCAACGAAGCAGTATGAGAATCACACTCCTCAAAAGTAAACATTTCCTCCGTAAAATGCCTCAAGTAGTCTTTAAGGCTTTCTCCGGTACTTTGCTTCATGCTGAATAGGATCGTGACGTCCTTTCTTCTCTTTTAATTGCAAATATACTGAGATATGAACATCTCACAGAGTTGGGTGAAACCGCCAATAGACCTTGGTTTCAGTTGTCTAAACCAAATTAAGGCCGACCCTGACAAGCTTGAGGGGAACAACTTACATAACAGGGCCTCGTCATCTCCTTCAAGCACCATTTGTTGTTGGAAATGATAGATGTGTTCAATGGGATCAGTCGTGCCCTCGAACAACTTAAACTTAGGTTGGGTGAACTTAATTGGCTTCTTGGCTTTCAGGATGTCTTCCGTGAATGGCACTTGCAAATTCCTTTTGCCGCTTCTAGAGCTAGTTCAGCGGGTGTTTGCGGCTTGTACCCACTAACAATCCTCTCAATCTGACTGCGCAAATCAGTGTCCTTAGCCTTTTTCTCCATCTTATGCAAGTCGAGATCTCTGTCTTGATCTTCAACTGTGGCCCTGTCACGGACGCTCGAATGTGTGCTGCTGGAGGAGTCTCCCTCAGAGATCTCATGTCTCTGCTTCCTCTTGCCCTCTTTTGGGCCCTCACGGCAAGCAGTGTTTTGTGCCTTCTCCAAAGCCTTTTCCGCTATCTTTCTTGTTTCGCGCAATTCTTTCATGATTTCCCTCAACTGGATAACAGCAAGGCTTGGTTCCCCATCTTGGGCGTTGAACCTTGCGCTTCCGGATCTAGGAGTGGACATCGCATTTCCCGAGACGGAGGTGTTGGGAGTTCCCTGTGCAGGTTCAGTCATGTTTATGATCAACTTTGCGAGATTTCCACAGACGGCGAACTGTTGGAGCAGGATTTCTTTCAAGAAGAAATACCTCCACAGGTTCTTGACTAAAGTCCGCACGTTTCCTTGGTTGAAAGAGAACTCCGGATTGCGTTCCCGAAGTCGAACGATGGAAATGGGGTGAGTACCTGCAAAAGCCACTCTGACGCTCAAGTCAGTGTTTGCGCAGCGTACTCTTAGTTTTCAATTGGGTTTCACGTACCTTTGCTGGAGGTCTAGTTGGGTTTTTATAGCACTCCGAGATCTTGGGTTTAACCCCATTTCCTTAGCTTTGCTCATCCCATCCTCCACTTTGTGGTAATGGGATCAGATGAGTGACTTGCGTCTCCCATGTTCCGCACTCCTCTAGTGGAAGGGAAGTCCGATCATCCCACCTCTTTTAGTTGTGGCATATGGGTTAGGCCATGATGCGTTAGGTTTGGTCCCCACATCATACTGATTACTTAAGCATCCGCTTTAATATTCATTTTGTGATTACAGAGCAAAGGTGAGTTGTACTCTACCGAAGAAGAGAGTATTCTGCGGTCGGCCCAGATAATCAAGGAGCATGGTGCTAGGTTGGGCAGCACCTTCCAAGATATGACCACTCAATAGTCTCACGAATTTATGACTGCTATCACACAGAGAAAAGTTTTTGATGAAATGAGTCACCACACACAACACTAGTTTGTCTTAGTTTTGGTTATCTTGACAAGGGAGCTGCATATAGGAACCATTGCTATGTCTTTTTCAACACAAATGTCAAGGTTTAATCTTTTGTGTGCAAATATTGTATGGAATCGCCCCATGGTGGGTGAGATTTGACCGTTGCAAGGAACCGGGTTTCATATTTGAAATGTGGTTGCAGGCTCAACGCCATTTGGTTGAGAAAAAAATTGAGCAAGTGGCATATAACATATCACATATCAACAATTATGGAGAACATCATTCTCTTTCTTTCCTGCTTTCTCTGCATGGTTTGGTTTGGTTTTTCCCCTTCCAGGAAAAGCTTACCCAAAAATTGAAACATAAATTAAGATGATCAGGTGATCTTGTAACATTAACCAAGAGTTTTGTTTGGCTGAAGTTATGGCAAAAGATCTTCGAGTTGTGATGCTTCCTGGTCTGCCTTTGGCCATATTATGCCTTATTTTCGACTTTCCATAACCTTGGCAAAAACCATAGTTCATGCCCATTCCATTTCTAGAAGGAGCTGAGGCCTCTGTGGCATATGATCTGCTGCAACAACCCATTATGCAGTTCATGGAACGCGATCAGAAGCTGCATCAAGATCATTTAGGATACTGGGAGCACTTAAGACATGATGGAAATGATGACGTCAGCGCATATTGGGACCTGGCTGGAGCCTGGAAGATACATGACGGCGTTGACTGTTGAGTGTTGACAGTCTGGTGGGCCGGGTTGATTGCTTGTGTTTGGGCTTGGTTTAGGATTCGCCAGTTCTATCTTCCACGGCTTTCTTTATCTATTCTCTACAAAGCCACAAAATGCTTTTCGTTGGGCCTCCAACATTTCTTATTGGTTGTGAAAGCCGAGGAAGACTAGAAACAGAGATACTATAATATTGGTGGTGATTGCATACTCAATGCTTTTCCAACGCCGCCAATATTACGTACACTGTTCAGTTTCAGCACATGCATGGTTTGGTTTTTTGTGTTGTTGTTTCTCTTCCCATTTTCAAGGAATCAGTTACGTTATTTTGGGAACATTTCAATTTTCAAGACAGATGCGTAATCATTTGGTGGAAAAAAGAAGAGAAGAAGAAGATAAAATTAAGATCTTGAAAGTCATTACAGGCAATCCTTGGGAAGGTGCATGCTTGGGTACTCTAGTTGAATGCTTAGCCAGAAAATGTGGATCATGTGTTTGGACGTTTGGTTAGCAAGAAACGCGTATTTGCTTTTTATTTTTATTTTTATATAAACGATATTGAAGAGGAGTGAATTGAACTTAGAACATTGGATGCATAGATAAATATTTTTAACCACTTAAGCTACAAGCTCATTGCTTAATTTTTCTTTTTATAATTACAAGATGTGTTATTTTTTAAGTGTTTGGTTAATTGTTTAAAGAGCTTTAAAAAAGAAGCGTTTCTATTTGTTTTATTTGGCTATATTAGGTGAAGAAGAGGGTCATGATTAGCGAGGAACCAACTATTGTCCGATTGTGTCTGTTTTATGATTTCCCCTACTTAATGATATTCATAAATTTACAGTAGAACTAATTTTATCATATTCAATGACATGAATAATTTGGTATCAACAAACACATCGACATACCATATTTATTGATTACATTATTAATCATCCTGACATAGTGTTCAATGACCTAACTAGTACTGTACATTTGCGTGTCTGTTATATGATTTCCTCTACCCAATGAATAATTGTACGACGAATTAGGATAGGGTAGGTCAGCCTACTTCCTTATATGACTGTCAAAAGTTTTTATTTATTTATGCAAGATGTAGGCTTATCACATTTTTATATCATTTTGTATATCACCTCTCTAATAAAGGTGAGACTCATTATATTGGTGGAGGTGGTATAAAAATGTGGTAAGCCTAGCATTACTTGTGTTCAAAAACCCTACTTCACAGTATTTATGTAGTCGCAACACATCCACATAATGCATGAACAAAAGTAATTCTTATTGCAAATAACATACCAGCATAAAATATTACCATGGCAAAAGATCATCTTCATGTTGTGATGCTTCCATGGTCTGCCTTTGGCCATATGATCCCTTTCTTTCGACTTTCCATAGCCTTAGCAAAAGCCAAAGTTCATGTCTCCTACATATCCACCCCAAAAAACATCCAAAGGCTCCCCAAAATCTCACCTGATTTACAACCCTTTATACAACTAGTCCCCATTCCACTTCCTGATTTGGATGTTGACCTCTTGCCACCTGGCGCCGAGGCAACTGTGGACGACCCTTTTGAAAAAATTGACCAATTGAAGGTTGCATATGATCACCTGCAACAACCCATTAAGCAGTTCATTGGGGATCAGTTGCCTGATTGGCTAATACTTGATTTTGCTCCTCATTGGGCGGTGGAGATTGGCCAAGAGTATGGTGTTCCACTTGTGTTCTTCTCTGTTTTATCTGCTGCTACCATGTCCATTCTAGGCTCACCAGAACATCTCTCCGGTGCTGATAACAGAAACCATGTTCTTCCATCATAAGAAAGCCTCACTTCACCACCAGATTGGGTGGCTTTTCCTTCTCTTGTGGCATATAGAGAGCATGAGGCTGTTCGTGTGCACAAAGGCCTCTTTGAAATAAATGGCAGTGGCATAAGGGATTCTGAAAGGTTTGCCAAGATCATATCAGCAAGCCAAGTTTTGGCCATGCGCAGTTGCAATGAGTTTGAAGGAGAATATTTAGAGGTGTGCCAGAAAATCAATGGAAAGCCTGTGATTCCTACAGGTTTCCTTCCACCAAAGAAACCATCTGCAAAAAGGGAAATAAGTTCTGATAATGGGTCATCAAACAATGTGATCTTTGACTGGCTTGATAAACAAAAACCCAAGTCAGTTGTGTTTGTTGGGTTTGGATCTGAGTGTAAGCTGAGCAAAGAACAAGTCTTTGAGATTGCTCGTGGGCTTGAGCTATCAGAGCTTCCATTTCTCTGGGCACTTAGAAAACCCAACTGGGCTAACAGTGAAGCTGATGCTCTGCCTCCTGGTTTTGTTGAGCGCACATCAGAGAAAGGGCTTGTTTGCTTGGGGTGGGTGCCCCAGATGGAAATTTTGGGGCACCCATCAGTTGGGGGGTCTCTGTTTCACTCTGGATGGGGCTCTGTAATTGAAACTCTGCAATTTGGACATGTTCTTGTTGTTTTGCCATTCATTATTGATCAGCCTTTGAATGCAAGGCTTCTGGTGGAGAAGGATCTGGCTGTTGAGGTAAAACGCACAGAAGATGGGTCGTTTTGCAAAGATGATATAGCCAAAACACTGTGACATGCAATGGTGGCAGAGGAAGGAGAGAAACTAAGAAGCAATGCAAGGAAAGCTGCCAAAGTTTTTGGAGATCACAAGCTGCACCAAGACCAGTACCTTGGCCAATTTGTCCATTACCTTAAAAATAATGTCCCAAGAAGGTCATTTTAGAAGCTCATTATTATTTTTATATAATAAATCTAGAATGTTACCCAAATTAGTTTCAGATCATAAGCATTGTGGA